AACATCACACTGACAAAGATGATGACAACACAAGCGCATCGCTCTCTCCACAAGCACTCATTTCATTGCTGATGAGGCCATACCAAGAAAAAGAAAGATAACAAGAGTTCCTCTTTTCTCATCAAACACTGACTTTTTGTTTTGTGACAGCCACAATATACATTTACATTTAGATATTTAGCAGACGCTTTTATCCAAAGTGACTTACAAATGAGGACAATGGAAGCAATCAAAATCAACAAAAGAGCAATAATATACACACACACATATATATATGTGAATATATAAAATGTGAATGATGAAGAAATGCGATGTATATAATTTTTATTAACTGATATTAGAAATAAATTACACACACACACACAGTTAGTTAGCTGCTATATATATATATATATAAAATTAAATTTACATCAAATTACATTTACTGCAGTGATTTCACATACAAAGAAAGCATATTCAATGCAAGTGTCTACTTTAATGTTTCAATTCATTTTTGTGAAAATAATGTCAAAATGTGTTGAAAAAAAACCTGTACTTATAAAAAATATATAAAAGATGACCACACCATTTTTTTGTATTTTAAATGGATTAAAAACTTCATGCTGACAAATGGGTAAAACCCATTTTTAAAAGAAAGAAAAAAGATTAAAAATGACAATTAATTAGCATTTTGGGGCTGCACTGTGATTCTTAAATAGTCTTTTAATGTCATCTTATTGATTCTGGTTGTAAATATGCCTGACAAAATTTTAGGTATATGAACTGTTGTTATACTGAATGACATTTTAGTGGGTGTCTTCTGTAAATCATGGTAAAATTGTATGATAGTCTATTTTTTGTTCAGAAAAAACCCCCAATTAAACAGGACACATTCTATTCTACAGGGGAAATTTTATTTAAGCTGTATTAAATTTTGTACTTCGATGCTTGAAAACCCCTTTAACCCATATTATACATACACACACACACACACACACACACACACACACAAACATATATAGCCACAAATACTGAAACTATAAAATACTGAAAACTATATATGAATAAATAAAACATACAGATACAGTAAATATATTTGTATATTTGCTGCTAAAAATAACTAGCAGAAAAACTGCTCATTAAGTCTTGCTATGGCGTGTCTCCAGCATACGGCTGCAGATCGTCAGGTGGAGCAGAAAGCAGGTGACGGTGGGTTTTTTTACTGCCTGGGTTTTAATTAGCAACAACACTGAGAGCACTTAGCCAACGCAACCCTGAGAGAATATCGCTGATCAGGCGCATCGATCGGCGGCTGCTTGCTTAAGAGACTTCAAGACAAGATGAGGAGTCCAAGAGAACTCGAGTAAACCTACCAGAGCAAAGAAGCTCCGACTTCAGCGTTTCGAACCGCCACGACCGCACTTTAACTTTGTGTCCCTGATAAACATGAGATCATGCCATTTAAAAGAACTACGAAAACACTCAGAGACTAATCAGCACAGCACATGGTTTAATTCAGTGCAAAAATCAACACACTTTTTGCACTGAATGCAAACTGGCTTTATATACATATGAATGGTTTTCTGAATGATTTATGCAGAAATTTGCTTCATTAATGCACCCAAATTTGTTTACTATTAAGGATGAATTCACAAAAAAAAATAGCATGTGGTGTTTCAGTGCAAAACCTGCAACTTATTCACTTATGCTGCTAGAGCAGGAAAATGTTTTAATTTGTGGACACCTTTAGCTGATTAGCTTGATTATCAAGTGCTATTACTGAAAAAATAAAAATAATTGGTGTAGAAAAATTGTTTTATTTAGAAATTGCTAGCACAAAAAAAATAGCATGTGGTGTTTCAGTGCAAAACCTGCAACTTATTCACTTATGCTGCTAGAGCAGGAAAATGTTTTAATTTGTGGACACCTTTAGCTGATTAGCTTGATTATCAAGTGCTATTACTGAAAAAATAAAAATAATTGGTGTAGAAAAATTGTTTTATTTAGAAATTGCTAGCAAATGTTACAGTTGTAAAGAAACGGCAAGTAATACATTGCATTAAACATGAAAAACTGAAATAGCACTTCTAAAATGTACTGTAATTTTGATTTATTTACAAATATAAATTTTTTACAGTTTAAAA